TCCCCATTATCACTCGGCATCATCCTGATGGTTATACTCCGTTGACTTTCCCATCACCGTCATCAAAATCATAATCAAGGAGAACAACACGCTAATCGTTACGTCGTCACAGCCGTCGTCTCACCCATCACCACCCTCATCATCACCTTGGTTGTCAACTTCGCCTGCATCGCCGTCGTCGGCGAGATATGCCCGAAGAGGCCTATGGGTACATCCTGCCTTCGTGGGGTCCTCTTGCTACGACCCCGTCTTCCTCATCCTCACGAGTCCTCAGCATCATCCTGATGGTAATGCACACACTCGATATGACCATCACAATTGTCAGAACTCCTTCTCCTCCTCCTCCTCTTCCTCCTCCTAATTATCATCAGCAGCAGTAGCAGCACAGCCATCATGGCTGGCACTACCAGTTCACTGCTGTCGGTGAAGCGGCGACGTGAACGTCGCGCGTCGTCATGATCATAGTCATGGTCAACACCCAAATGATTATCTACATTCGCTGTCCCACCACCGTAATCGCCGCCATCGTCATAGAAAACACCACGCCAACCGTTTTGGTCGCCACAGCCCTCCACTCACCCATAACCGTCCTCATCGTACCAGCCTGGAACATATCCCTATCCCTATGCTGGGCACCTCCTCATCACGATGTCAATCTTAGGGATTTCCTTGTGTTTTGAGGGCGCATCCCGAAGATTGTCATCGCCTTTTGGCGTGTCAATCTTAGGGATAGGGATAAGTTCGAGGCTGGTAATCATCGTCGTCGTCGGCGAAGTGTTCCCAAAGAGGCCTATCTCTTGTTCTTCTCGGGGTCCTCTGGATCAATGCTGGGTGCTCCTGGGGTGTCTTGGGGCCCTCCTGGGCCGTCGTGCTGGTCTTCACTGGAGCTCTTGGGCTGTTTTGAAGCGACCCTGCGGTCCTCATCATCCGTTTGAGAGCTCTGAAAGCTCCACAATCCGAAGACCAACAGACACTAAACAACCTAAAAAGAAATATCATGTTAGCCTCGTGCAAATTCGAAGACGTTCTGCTCTCAACTGTGTAGCCTTGGCAAGGAATGTACGTGTCCCTTCCAGATACCCCCTCCCCAATTGTATGGAAAATCCCGGCATACACGCAATTGTTGACCCTCGCCTGCGGAAGGAGAAGCGAGCGAGCAAGCGGAAGCCGAGGGGCAGTTAGATCCAGAGCAAAGAGGAGGCAGGCACGCACCTCAACCCCCCGCCCCAGCACCTACACGGTGGAGCCCGAAGGCCAGGACCACCTTGCAAGCACCAAGGAGAGGAGCGAGAGGTGGCGGAGATGGAGGCGGAGGCGGAAGAGAAGGAGGGATGGGGGAGTCGATGTTCGAGAGGCTTCCCTGCAGTCTCTGAGAAGCCTGTGAAGAAGAGGCTTGAGGCGTCTTCGGCCTTGGAAGGCTCCCTGGGAGGTCTCTTGGGAGTTTTTTGGCGAGGTGGGAGAGGAAAAAGGATGGGGGAGAAAATGTTCCCAGAAGCCTTTCTGGGAACATCTGGATGACGACGACGGCAACGAGGAGTTCAGAATACTATTCGGATGTTCTGCCCGAGAATTCCGTGAAAAACGTGCTGCTTCCTGGCGGTCTCTGAGGAGCCTCGCAAGGGCATGTTGGATGCGTCGTGGGGGTCTCATGGAGCCCCCGACGGGGCCTCTTGGAGATCATTTGGGGCCTCTTGGAGCCTTTTGGGGGCATCTCTGGAGCGTGCGTCTTCGGAGCGTCAAGGGGCCCTCTCGGGGCACACGGAGCCTGCCAGGCGTCTCCGGAGCGTCCTGGGACCTCTCCGGGGCCTTTGGGGCTTTGCGCCTCTCAAGCGGCTTTGCCATCTCTGGACTGTCCCGAATCCTCAGAGGCCCCTCGGAAACGGAAAAACTGAATCTGCAAACTTGTACAGTATTCTCGTGGCCTTCTGACAGCCTCTTGGAAACCTCGTCTCGCCATCCTCGCTCTCCTGGCCCTCCTTCTCCACATCCTCACCCTCCCGCTCCGCGCTCGCCTGATCCTCGCCCGCGTGACCCTCACCCTTCTGGTCCTCCCCCTCGCGGGCCTCGCCCTCCTGATCCTCACGCTCACTCTCATCTCGATCATTTCCCTCTCGCCGAGAAGCGCACGTCCCTTCCGAAGGGGCCCTGGGACACACAAATAAATACACACAAATAAAAGGATTCCCCATATTTTCCCATATGTTCTGGGTTTTTGTCTTCCCCCCCAATTCCTATCTTTTCCCATATTTTCCTGGGAGGGGGCGATGAATTGTGTCTGTGTGTGTGTTTTTCCCTCCTGACCTTCTTCCATATACAGAAACCCCCGATACACCGCAGAACGGCCGGCCAGCATCCCTCCTCTCCACGGGGGGGGCGGAGCCGGGCCGAGTGGAAACGCTCTTGCCGATTTTGTGAGACGAAGAATGGTGCGGCCCCAACGTCTCGTCGCCGCCATCGGCGAGCGGAAGCGGAACCGGCGTGCCTACGCTTATGTCGGGCGTGTGCCCCTACAGGGGGATTTTCAACGAAAAATAAAAGATACCAATAAAAATACCCCCAAAAGGTCAAAAGATACTCAAAAAATAGTCCCCCGACTATTTTTGGACTGTTCTTGGATTACTTTTGGAGTGTTTTCCATTTTTCGTCGAAAATCCCTCTGTAGGGGGACAGGCCCGACTTAAGCCTACGCTGACACTGCCCCAGGGCGAGCCCATCCGGGGCCCTGCGCTCTCGTGCAAGCCCTACACTGGCCAGGCCAGAGCCGCCCGCACGCCAGAGCCGGGGCCCAGGCAGGGAGCAGTGTTGGAGGCTTCGAAATTGCCACCAGCACCAAAACAGGGGGGCGGGGAGGATGATCATAGATTTCGGTGTTGGTGGCAATACTTCGGTCACCTGGGAAGCCAGAATATTACCACCATCACCGAGATCGGGATCCTCTCCCCTCGGTGGAGGCACACCGCCGAGTTTGGTGTTGGTGTCAACCTCTGGGCCTGCCACAGTGCGAGACTCCAGCTGGCAGCTCCCAACGCAGCGCCCGAGCAGCCAACGTCTGGGCTCGGAGTTCGATGAAATCTGCCAGAGGCAGATGACAAACGAATTTCAAGCAAGCGCTCTACTTGGAGGACCGTCGAATCTGCAAGTGGTCAGGACTTGAATTACCGCCTCCGTCGCAGACCCGCAGGGGGACAAGCTCTCAAACAAGGCGAGACGGGTGCGGAAAAACTATTCTTACAGATCTCAAGCCACGAGAGCACGACGGGCGTAGAGACCTTCGCCCCACCAAGCCAGCGAGGGTGCGAAAAGATTGCGCGGTGGGTCCTTCCCGAATCCAGCTGCAACGAGGTGATGATAGAGAAGCAACGATGACGAATCTCGCGCCGAGCCCACAACATCGAATTAGACACATGCCCTCGCTCACACGCACGCTGGCCCGCTCGACGAGTAAGAGGGTGCATGGAGGGCGTCCAGGGCGGAGTCTGGAACCCCCTGCTCGATCTGTGGCGCTCCGTTGCCCTTTGGTCTGCCCAGAGGCGCAGCGCAGGTGCTCTCCTCACTTCAGGGTGCCCTTGGACTGCTCGCGCCCCGCAGGCACGCCCTCCCCCTCGAGCAGGTCGCGTCCTGAGGCCAGCCCGCTGGGCCATAGCCACCGACCGGCGAGCGGCTCGCGAAGGCCTCCCCCGTGCGCACCGCAGACGGAGGCGCCAGTGCCCACATGGATCGGTGGCTCAAAGGTGTGGCCCTGAGAGGTGGGGTCCTAAATCGGCGGTGGACAAACCTCCCTTTAGTAAACCTCCCCTTAGTGAAAACGGCCTGGGACCGAAACCGACGGACCTGGACCCGCAAAAATGACGGCCGCGACGCCCTCTCGCGAACCGAAAACGGCCAATTCCTTAGTCGACGTGTCAGGGTAGGAGGTCTATCCACCTCCGACTAAAGATGGGGAGGGATCCAGGGGTGGACTTGCACTGTCTGCGGCCCCCCCGGCCTTTCGCTGCCCCCCTTCGGGGCGTGTGCCAGATCGGCCTGGGGCGGCCCTCTGCCACCCCCCTCCCCCCTGCCTGCCCGCCCCCCCCGCTGGGGCCCGCTGCACGGTTACACAACACGAATATACTATTCTCCCCTCTGCCCTGGTGACGCCCGGGAAATGCTCGGCCCCCCTCCACGTACTGGTTCCTTACACACAAGATTCCCAGCGAACGGGTTTGCCCTTGGGCTTTGCTTCAAAATGGCGCTTTCGCTGAAGCGCCGGCCTCATTTTTGGGCTACCGCCCGTTCCCAATCGTGCTCCCGCTGCAGCGCTGGCCTCATTTTCGCGCTTCCACTCGTTCCGAATCGTGCTCCCACTGCAGCGCTGGCACGGCATGGCTAACGGTCCTTCCAAGATAGGCCCCAAAATCTAGAAAATGCCCCTCCGAAACAACCATCGGAAATGATTACACATTTTGGTGTCGATTCGTTGATTTCTGGGGTCGCAAAAGCCCCACACACACACACACACACACACACACACACACACTTTGGGGCGTCGCCACGCCATGCTATGTCAGGCTGAACCGTGTTCCCGCTGCAGCACTGGCCCCAAAATCTAGAAAATGTCCCTCCGAAACAACCATCAGAAATGATTACACATTCGGTGCCGATTCGTTGATTGTTTGGGCCGCAAAAGACTCCCACCCACACTTTGGGGCGTCGCCACGCCATGCTATGTCAGGCTACGCGCGGATCTTCAACCCAATGCTATGTCATGTAATGCTATGCCCTGCTACGACATCCGACTGTGCGAATAAAGAGGGGATCTACGCCATGCTCAGGGGGGGTGAGGGGCAGGAAGTCAGATACGGCGCGAGCGCACCTGGCTTGCCCCCCCCTCCTCCTCCATCCCCCCCTCCTCCTCCCCCTCTTCTCTTCCTCCTCCCCCTCCCCAGGCCCCCCCCCCAACTGCCCCCCCTCTGGAGGACCCCTGCCTCGGGACCCCGCCCCGGGAACCACCGAATGGAGACCGCCGGCGCCAGACCAGCACGCCGCCGCCTCCGCGCCGGCCAGGGGCAGCGCGCCCGCCCCCTCGGCGCCTCGGCCGCGGGCGGCGAGCGGCCCCTCCCCGAGCCGCCCGTGGCAGCCGTTGGCGGCGCGGCCGTTGGGGCAGCCCCCGGGCCAGGGCGGCGCCCGCGGCGGCGAGCGCCGCGCGGCCTCGGCGTTGACGGAGCGCTTCAGCGCGGCGTACTCCTCCTTCCAGCGCCGGAACTGCTCCCCCAGGGGCGGGGGCGTGGTGGGCGTGGGCGTCTGCAGGCCGTCCAGCAGGGCCGACGGCGGGGTCCGCGGGGCCGAGTCGGCGAGCGGCAGGTCGGGCAGGGGTGGCGACAGCGTGGGCGGAGGAGCGCCCGAGGACCGCTCGGCCTCTGGGGGAGCCGGCAGGCACCGATACCCTCTTCCTCCTCCTCCTCCTCCTCCTCCTCCCTCCTCCTCCACTCCTCCTCCTCCTCCTCCTCCTCCTCCTCCTCCTCCTCCTCCTCCTCCTCCTCCTCCTCCTCCTCCTCCTCCTCCTCCTCCTCCTCCTCCTCCAGACCTCCCCCGAGGTGCGTCCTGACCAAAACGCCGAGGCGATTCCAGCCGCTGCGTCCAGGGCCGCTCCAGGAGGCCCAGAGATCCGCGAACGCGAGGCGAGGCAGCGGCATCGGCACTCCTGTCCTCCTCCCCCGAGCCTCGCAGCGGGCCTCCCGAGTCGCCGCGGCCGGCTGGGCCAGCGCTGGCGGCAGCGGCAGTACGGGGGGCGGGGGCTGGCGCGGGCGCGGCGGCGACGGCTGCGCCCCGCCGGAGCCGCTCGGAGCCTGCCGCAGCCGCGCCAGCTCGGCGCAGAGCCACTCGGCGTGCTGGAGCGCCTCCGCCGCTGCCCGCCACTCCGCCTGCAGCTCGCTCTCCACGAGCAGGGCCGCCGACTCCCCTGGCGGCGCCGGCGGCTCCACCGGGCGGACACCCGCGCGGACACGCTCGGCCTCCGCCACGGAGCGCGGCGCCGCGGCCCGCGTCTCGCTCGCCCGCAGCTCGGCCGCCTGCGCGGCGGCCGCCGCCTCCGCCTCTGGTCAAGGGGGCCCAGGGAGATACAAATTCGCCGGCCCAGCGGGCCAGAGGTGTGCCAAGATCCCCGGTAGCAAGTTGACGGTATGACAAGACCGCGCGCGCGAGGCGGCCCCTGGGGGGCCCGACGCGACAAGCACCCCGCCAAAGTCCCGGCTAGTGCCCGTCAGAGATGTCGGAGGCCCCCCAGACGGCCCAAGAGGCGGCCAAGACGGCCTCAAGAGAGCGCACATACGGTCCAAGAGCCCCTGGAGTCCTCGAAAGATCGGCCGACGATGCCACAAGATCGCTCCAAGACGCCCACCATGGCCTCCAGACGCCCCCCAAAGCCTCCGAAAGCACCCCCAAGAGGGCTCCCAGAGACAAAATTCGGTAATTTGCCATAGGTTTGGGACACATTTTCGGGTGTCTCCTTTTTCGGCTTCCCGACGCTCCAAGATGGCCTAAGAGGCTCCCAAGATCGCCCCAAGAGGGTCCAAGAGGACCCCAAGACAGCCACAAGACGGCCCAAGATGGCCCCAAGACAGCCCAAAAGATGCGCACAAGACGGCCCAAGAGAGCCCTAAGACGGCCCCAAAAGAGGCCCAAGAAGGTGACCAGGAACCGAAAAGTCCAGCCTTCAGTCCCAACAGGCCCCCTGGAGGCCCCAAGAGGCCCCCAAGATGCCCCAAGAGGCCCCCAAGAGGCACCCCAAGAAGCCCCAAAGGGGTCCTCAAAAGACCCCAAGAGGCCCCAAAACGGCCCCCAAGAGGCTTCAAAATTGCCTCCCAACAGGCCCCTGAGAGGCAACAACGAGAGCCCAACCAACATCCGTGAGGCCTCTGACCCGCCACCCACCGCCTCCGAAAAATGGCAGCCGTCCAACCTCACCGCAATGACAACAACACCCCGACAAACGACAGCGGCGAGGCAATATGGACCGGCGGAATGAGCGAAGCGCTTAAATACATAGACACAAGCTCAAGGATGTCCCCGATGCGCTCCCCCACATATTCTGGATCTTCCCTCTTCCCCTCCTCCCCACATATTCTGGATCTTCCCTCTTCCCCTCCACATCCCATCTGTTCCCCTCTTCCCCTGGGAATCCAGGCTGGCTTGCGTTTGTGCCTAGTTTTCCACCCTGATCCAGGCACGCCCGACATGGGTACAGCAAGCTCGTGCCACGACGACCGATACTGGTTTCCGACCCGCGTGGGTCGTTCGACCTGAAGCGGTCGGCGGCCTTTCGGTCGCCAGATCGTTCCGTGCTGGCCGGTTCGGGGCCATCGGCGGCGCTCGGCCCTGGGCGCCAGCGGCGGGGTCGTCGCCGCGTCGGCACGCCACGAGCCTACCGTGCGGAGAGAACATGGGCATGGTGCCCAGCAGCAGCAATTGTCCAAAACCGACAGCGGCTCTCCGTGGGGCAGGCAGCCTGATGCCCCAAATCTGGTCATCGCTCGGACGTCCATTCCCTGTGCTTTTATCGGTTTCGTGCGTGGTTTTCTCGCAGGATGATCCAGGACGCTCCTTAATAATCCCTGCCGAGAAAAAGTGCACACGTCCGAGCGATACCAAGAAATGGGCGACGAAAAGAACTGGGCCTGACGCACGATGGCATAGCGAACTTACGCCGCGGCTTACGCGGGCCGTCAACAAGGCACGCTGCGTTGGAAATGAGGGCGCCTAGGCGAGACCTCACGCAGGACGCTGTCGCGCCAAAGTCGGCGAAGACGACCCCGCATTTCTGCGTCGCTCGCATCGGTACGGAGAGAATAGGCACGATGCCCAACAGCAACCGCTGTCCAAAACCGACAGCGGCCCCGCTGTGAAACGGGCAAGACACAGTTCTTGCTTTTCGGCGATGGCCCAGAGTATCTGTGCTGGGGGGCAGGGAGGTGACGGCCGACAACCTGACCTTCTCGCTCTGGGCAGCCCCGCGCATGCCCACGCGCACCAGTACTGGCACCCGACTCAGACCTGCGCAATCGACAAGGTCGGGTTATCGGGGTAAGGGGGGGGGAAGGTCCCGATAGCCTGGGCTATCGCCAGACCCTCTTAAAACATAGTCATCCACCGCTGCCCAGAACCGACAGCAGCCACCGGTGGGCAGGCAACCTTGCGTCTCAGACGGACAACGTCTGCGTCGGCACCGACAGCGAGTCCGACTCAAAATGGGCAAGAACTGCTGTCGAAATTCGTCCCCCTACGTTCCGTACGGCAAATTCGTGTTGTGCCGACTTCGGCGTTGGCTCCAGACACCGCGGGGATCCTTCAACCTTGAACGATCGGCCGTTTCCGAAACGTCAGATCGGCCAACATCGACCGATTCTGGATCGCAGGCGGCGTCCAACGTTTAACGCCAGCGGATATGCGGTCGGCACGACAAAAACCTGCCGTACCCATGTAGTGGCCTCCCAGATGGCGTCGGAGCAGATGGGGTCAGAGGATCGCGCCGCATCGCCG